GATTTCCCTTATCTCTTTTAAAGGACATCTCCCATTCTCCAATCTTAGGAAATCATGCATCTTTAGTTACATGGTTATACTGCACTTCACTTCGAAGATTTATCTACAGAAACAATATTACATTTCCAACCTTATGATTTCATTGTGCAGACCATAATAGCTGATTCACTATGTTCCTTCCTAAACCTATCCAGTGAAGAATTCTTGTTTCCTAGTAGTATGCCACTAAAAAGCAAGGGACTAATTTGCTGCTTTGCTGACAATGTTAAAAATCTACTATAAGCAAAAAACCAGTGGGATAAAGAACACAGAGCTTTTAACCAGTAGTTTCCCAATGGCTGCCTGCCTGTCACAGGTAATCTTGTACAGCACTCTGTGTATTTTATCATAAGCATGAACTAAGAATCTTGTTGTACCACCCAAGGCAGTTTAGACAACACCTTAGATCAGAGGTGCCCCCACCAGAACAACCCATGCGCCATAACAACCCATTCAGCTTACAGCCCAATCCTGACTGCTCTCAGTTATGCAAAGGGAAGTAAACACAATTTATTCCAGTCTTTTACAGCTGTTACCTGACTAGCTTGAAGTTCCCTTTGGTGCCAGGAATATCTGTAGGGAACTCATCTGGGGTGCTACTTCCACAGGATCGGTAACACTCTGGTCGAGAACAGCTTGGGTCATCCAGCTTGTAAATCTGTGACGTTTTAGAATTGGAAAAAAGTTTAATTCCTCAAGGGTTAGTTACCTGTAAGCTCACACCCACCCTGAAATACATCAGCAATGTATTTGCTGCAGTAATGACTCACCTTTGCATTAGCATAACCCAGCTTGATTGTGATATTTCTTTCCAGTTCATTTTTAAATCTGACAGTATGAACTCCAGATATAGCTTTGACTACTGTCGACTTTCCATGGGCTACATGACCAATTGTACCTGTGTTTTAAAAGGAAATGTTTGTCAATAAACCATTGTTTAGTGCAGCGCTCCATTACTATCAACACACAATTACTCCAAATTATTTATGGCAGGTAAACCCAGAGCCCCCATCAGAAGCATATATGGGGTTTGTCATCATTTTGGTTTAAAGAAACAAAAAAATTGAGCTCCCAATGGACAGACCTTGCATTTTTATGAAACTCATTTCAATGCTCCACTTCAAGGGAAAATAAACTTGGCATTAGCAACTATTCCCCACAACATTCAACTGTGTTCCTGAAGTAAAACCAGTGCTTTTCAAGTCAAAATGGTTTGACAATTTTCTAAAATGACTATGTAAGAATCTTTAAAGTGTTGCCATATAAGTACCATCTGCTACTGCAGGAGGACCAAAAAGAGTCACATTAACACCCCTCTTTTTCGTAAGTTTGTTTTTACCTATATTAATTGTTGCTTGTCTGCTGATGACTTCTGGTGAAAGAGGCGTCAACTTGGTCACATCCTGTATAAGGGAGATTTTAGAATTTATTCACCTTGTATGTAAGTGTTTAGAAAGTATTGTGTGCATTTTCTCAAAAGTTATCCAATAGTTCTATTCAGTAAAAATCCAGGCGAGCTCCTTGAAATAATTCTAGATATGCATTCCAGTCTTTTAAGTGTGTGAAATAAGACAAAAAGTGAACCAAGTCCCACTTGTAAATCAGTACAGGCTGCAACCCAAACCTCTGACTGTAAACCGGTATTGGCTGCAGAGTGTTACAGATGGGGGTAAACAAACCAAAAAACCTCAAGAAAAGCTCTAACAAAAAACCCCAAACCCTTAACTTACCCCCAAACCTAAATGACACATAACAGGGAAATTCAAGTTAATTTTCAATGAGTTACACGATGAATTGCACTGATGTTTTAAAAACAAAGCTTTGTCAATAAAGAGTTGTTTGATTGGTGTCAGGTCCCATTACAGCCAATATATAATTACAACCATCACTTTGGAGTCCGCAGGTCCAGAGACTTCATTATTAACATGGATTTTTAATGGCTATTTTTTCCTCAAATATTTTAAAGCTGTTTGTCCAAATAACAGACAAGTGTTGAAATACACTGAACTGTTTGTTGCTCTGTGCTACTTTTGAAACTGTTAACAGCTACTTTCCATCCTGCACTGAACTCATATGGATGAGCTGCTCAGTTCAAGCCACAATTCAGGATGCCAGAAGAGTCCTCTGTGCAGGACAAGATACAAATATTTTGCTAAGATACAAATAACACTCACACTAAGTCACATATTGTTCACACTGTTACATGCAGGTTCTGTGCACACTGATCAAATAAACACATCTGTGCAACAGTGTAAGCTCACCCCTTCTGTTCCCAAGTATTACACAAATGAAACGTTCGTGTTCAATACAAACCAAGTCTTGAACGCTTAAGACACACAATTAAACGTGTATTTCTTATACATCGAACTGAAAAACACTGCCCTGCGATGGGAACGTGCCCTGCAGATGGCACCATGCGGCCGGGGGACAAGCACGTCAGCGTGATGCAATTCCTGCCACCAGGAGAACTCTTCCTGTACAATTGTGCACGCAGGGAGAGTTTTTCTGGCAGGACTGGTGTAAGGCCACGCTCAGCAATAAGCTGCAGTCAGCTGTAAGCACTCAAGGGCCGATGGAAAAGGATAGGCCGTAAAGGTAATTCCTGCTGACTTCCCAGCTGGTCCTATTTGTGCCTTTTCCGACTGGGAAATGGGATGGTCAACAATGAGAGGAAGTAAAGAAACTTTCTGAGATGACCAACATGCTCATTATAGCACAAAGGAATTCCCGCGATCAAACCCGGAGAACAACGAACATTATTACTGCACACACAAATAGTCTGTTCTGGTTTGCTGAACGCTGGGGGTGCAGCAACAGGATTTTCGAGTAGTTTTGTCAGCACAGAGGTGTAATGAGTGAGACAGACCCAGAGAGACGCTTAACAGGCAAGATCACCGCAGGCTGGACTCAGTGGTCTCACAGGTCTTTTCCAACCTAACTCACGCTCTGATTTTGTGAACTGATATTCTTGGTAGGTCTTAATAACCAAGAAAATTTGCTTGGCAAACCAGCCAAGGCAGGGTTGGCAGCCAATCCCCCGAGCCTGCTGGAGACACACAGCGCCAGATTATGGTTCTGCTTCGGAGAGGGAAGAGCCTTTAGTACTGCACAACAGGACAGCCCTTAGAAGAGGAAAAGCGCACCCACCGCTGAGCTACAAAAGCTCCGCTCGCACAGGTGGGACGCCGAGACTCTCACTCGCCTCACCCCGGTGCCCCACACCCGCTGCGACCGGCCCGACCTGCTCCCGGCGCCGCCACTCCGGCCGCGCCTGCCTCCCCTGCCCGAGGCCCGGCCGCAGAGCGCTGCCCCTCGGCCCGTTCCCGGAGCGCTGCCCCTCGGCCCGTTCCCGGAGCGCTGCCCCTCGGCCCGTTCCCGGAGCGCTGCCCCTCGGCCCGTTCCCGGAGCGCTGCCCCTCGGCCCGTTCCCGGAGCGCTGCCCCTCGGCCCGTTCCCGGAGCGCTGCCCCTCGGCCCGTTCCCGGAGCGCTGCCCCCGGCCCGGCCCCGCTGTGCTGCCCCTCGGCCCGATCCCGGAGCGCTGCTCCTCGGGTTCCCGCGTCCCTCAGCGCGGCGCGGCCGCGGCGGGGCCGGCAGAAGGGTCGGAACCGCTCGGCCCGCACCCCTCCACAGAACCCCCCAGCGGCGCGGCTGTCCCGGCGAGCCCCGGCTGTCCCGCGGAGCCCCGTCCGCGCCCCGCGGTCTCACCAGCGTGCCCAGGTCCTGCCGGCTGAGGTGCGGCTGCCCCAGAGTCACTCCCGCCTCGTCCCCCGCCATCTTGGCCCGACCAGGAAGTGAGGAGTCCCGCGCGGACGCCTGACCGCCGGCTCCGCTCGGCGCCGCCGCCGCCGTCCAGCAGCCCCCGGCGCTCTCTGGCCCCCAGCGGGGCACCGGCCGGCCCGGGGACGGCACCGGGCTGGGGAAACAGTCGCGATAGGAGCTGCGGAGACACAGCTGGAGCCGCCGCGGAGCGGCAGCGGCTCAGGCGCACCGCGGGCAGCCCTGGAAAAGGTCCCCGCGGCTGCCCTCGCGCCGGGTGATGCAACCGGGGCCTGCGGCGGGGGCCTGCGCCGCGTGCGGCAGCGCGCGGGGCCGGGAGCGCGCGTGCGCGAGCGGCGGTAACGGTCGCGCGCTCGGGGGGACCCAAGGCGCGGGCCCGGGAGCGCGCGCGGCGGGCACGCGCAGCTCGGCCTCGGCCGCCCCGGGAGCGCGCGGGGACCGACACGGCCGGAGAGACGGACAGAGCGGCGGGACCTGCGGGGACCGACATCCCGGGAGAGCCACACAGAGAACCGGGACCTGCGGGGACCGACATCCCGGGAGATTCGCACAGAGCGCCGGGACCTGCGGGGACCGACATCCCGGGAGAACCGGACAGAGAACCGGGACCTGCGGGGACCGACATCCCGGGAGAACCGGACAGAGAACCGGGACCTGCGGGGACCGACATCCCGGGAGAGCTCCACAGAGAACCGGGACCTGCGGGGACCGACATCCCGGGAGAGCCACACAGAGAACCGGGACCGACATCCCGGGAGAGCCGCACAGAGCGGCGGGACCGACATCCCGGGAGAGCCGCACAGAGCGGCGGGACCTGCGGGGACCGACATCCCGTACGCGAAACAGCGCCGTGAGCTCGGGACGGGAGCCGGCCCGGGGACAGAGGCACCGGAGACGGGAGGTTCGCCCGGGGTTCGCGGTCCGCTCTGTTGTGACACCGACAGCGCGGGGCTATTTGGGTGTCGGGTGGGTGCGATGCGGAAAGGCGCGTGGGGGCAGAACTGAGGCACGGTGCTTGTGTGTGTGAAATGAGTGTCGGTGTCTGATCGGCTGATCTGCCTGAACAGTAACATGTCACATCCATACATTAGTAATCTCTGCTGCCCATCAGCCTGATAATGTTCTTTTCCTTGTTACTCTCTTTTCTAGGCTGGGCAGTTATTATTTGGGAGACCACGTGGATATGAGACCGTACCCCAAGGTACGAGCAGCCTGAATGTTTTGCATGAAACAGGTAAAAAGTCACACGTGCTGTTTTCAGAGTTGGGTGTGACATAAATGCTTTAAAAATTAAAGCATTAAAATCCCCAGTGCAATGATGAGAGCCAGTTTAGAGGTTCAGTGGAGATTAAAGACCAAATTCCCTATTCTTCCCTGTGGGAAATTGAATTGACTTCTTTATGAGAACTTCTTTAAGGCATAGAGGATGTGGCTAGTAGTATTTTCTCTGTGATCAGGGACACCAGTTTCATTGCAAGTAACCAGTAATGTCAAATATGTGTGCATTGGGCCAACAACAGTGGCTTTGTCTGCTGGAAAACGTGTTGGTTCTCAGACTTTGCCCAGGCAACTGCTTGTGTGAAAAAAAAAAAACAGGTTTGGAGCAGACAACCACGTGATTGAAATGCGATGATGGAAATCCGTGTGAAACTGGTGTGCCTGGTTTAACAGTGCTGGTAACCTCCTCTCTCCTAAATACTACTATTGCCACTTTCCTGGAACAAAAGTTAGGAGTGAGATTCTGCTGGATGTACCCAGAGAACACATTGCCAGTGTTCTTGTTCTGAATAAATGAATAGGAACACCTAAGAAGCCTTACAGCATCTGAAATGGTGTTGCCAGTGACAAAATGTATATTTGTATTGCGACCCAATCACGTGGCATGTTGGTCTGGAATATAAATTTTCATATCTACTCTTTCCTCAGGCCACGTTGTGTTTTCAGTTTTGTATAAAATATCTCACTTCTGGGAAAAACAACTGAGATACCCAAAGTGTAGTGGGAACATGATGCAATACTTGGTTGTAGTTGCCTCGACGTCCAGGCATGTATAATCACTCTTTTATGGAAATGAACTGAAAACACTAGACTCTGTACTTACTTAGCTGTTTAAATTATGCAGTAGTGCAGTGCACTGTAAAATTATGGAAACAGTTTTTGTCACTTTTGCATCAGCCTCTAGAAAGGATTTAATCCTTGCCAAACACCCTGTCAGGAATATGAAAAAAATTACACAAACTGTTGCTTCTATTTTAACAATGCGATTGCACATTTTACATATTCTGAGGCAGTCTTGTTACTTTAAATCACTTACTTAGAGATATTTGTAATATAAAGAAAATCCAGAAAAGTCTGAAGACTGCAAATGTCTAATTACTGTAGAACAACAGAATGGTTTGGTTGGAAGGGACCTTAAAGATCATCTAGTTCCATTCCCCCCTCTGTGGGCAAGAACAGCTTCCACTAGACCAGGTTGCTCAGAGCCTTATGCAACCTGGTCTTCAGCACTGCCAGGGGCATCCACAGCTTCTCTGGGCAGCCTGTTCCAGTGCCTCACCACCCTCACAGTAAAGAATTTCTTATCTAAACCTGCCCTCTTTCAGTTTAAAACCATTCCCCCTTGTTCTGTCACTACATTCCCTTGTGAAAAGGCCCTTTATCGGCCTTCTAATGGGCCCCCTTCAGGCACTGGTAGCTGCTATAGGATTTCCCCAGAACCTTCTCTTCTTCAGGCTGAACAACCCCAACTAAAGTAGGTAAGAACATTTCTAGGAGCTGACATTATGTCAATATATGTCCATTGTACATATGTGTATTAATGTGTACAAAGTCTAAAATTATTCAAACTGAATGGTAACTAGTGTATTAATATAGCTCAAAAACCTATGCCCATAGTTTTATTCATTGCAATAGTTTGATTTTAGCCAGTGGTAAATGCCTACTTAGTAAATGCCTAAATCAGAGGGGTCAGTCCAAATCTCTAAGTAAATTAATATTAGCTAAGGTAATGTTGATACCACTGGTCATTATCAGAAGCCTAAATTTAATTTTATTTACGAGACTAGAATTGAGTTATTATTAATATATTTTGATTTTTCATTACAAGCAAATTGTCCAATGTGAAAGAGAAGGGGACTTTTTTGTGTGTGTTTTTAAATGTTGAGATGTTTTAAATGTCAAAGCTATTGTGTTTTGGTTTCTTTGTTTGGTTTGTTTTTTTTTTTCTGTGGCTAGGTTTGAGGTCCTCTTCTGTGGCAGTGTGTAGGACAGACCTGAAGATCATCTTACGCCTCAGCTTGCCCCAAACAGCAGACAGCAAAATGACAGTCAGGTAAAACCCAAACAGTCTTGCTTAGCTTTTTCCACCTTCGCCGACCCATGAACGTCATAAGTCTGAGGAGGGCAGGATGCATTAAGTTTTGCTTGTATCATTTCTGTGTATGAGAAACTTAGTTTCTACTCCAGTTTCATTTTGTTGAAGCATTAGATATGGACCACATGCTTGGTGCAGCAGGAGACATATCCTGTGGGAATGGGAGAGAAAGTCTTTCCTTTAGGCTTAGGTAGCAGAAACAGTTGCTGCCTTGGCAGAGTCAGTCTGTAAAGGGCAGTTGTTTCACCCTAAGTGCACAAGTAACAGGTTTTAAAACAGTGACTGGGGAGATGGGGCAAATTTACTGCATGAGTCAAGTGGGTGACATGGAATAGTAAAAAGTTTGCCAAGTAGAGAGAGGTCAGGCCATTGGGGTGAAGGAGTGAATGTGAGCAGGTTTATGGTAGTGAGAGGGAGCAGTGGAAGGGCACTTGAACAGTGGGAATAGCAGTGGGAAGTCTTTTTGTGAAGCACTGCATAGTATAGCTGGTTCATTGTGTGAAGTTGTGAAAGGTGTGAAAGACGTTCAGCTTGAGGGTGGCAGCTATAGAGGAGGTACATTCTTGTTTTATAGATCAAGAATTGGGAGGGGGTGGTAATGAGAGACTGAAAATAGGGTGTGAAGGTGATGGAAACAGTAATAAACAGGGAGAGGATGACAGCGAGTGGCTTGCTATTTAAAGTGAGTGCCACAGAAGGTGACAAGGAGGTACATAGAAGGTAGTGAATGATTTGGGGCTGGCAGTGGCAAACACAAGGACCACGTAGTTCAGTCCGCCTCTTACGATGAAGTCAGAGTTTGCCAGGCCAAGGTAAGGTAGCAAGAGCAAGGGGGGTGATGTTTGTGCCAAGGCAAAGCCCTGCTCCTCCATCCCGCGCAGGGCTGCGGTTCCACGCGAGCTGTGAGCAGGCATTTGCCGCTCACGGGCTGCTCTGCTGAGCGCCGGTGGCGGCGGCTCCGACCCCGGGGGCTCCAGTGACCCGGTCCCCACAGCAGCTGGCAAGGCAGCCTGTGGCGAGCAGGGAGCTGGGATCATCCCGCAGCACCTGTGGCTGGCCGCTGGCCGGGAGATGCTCGGCCGACGCCGAGCAGGGGTTGCTGCTGCCGAGGGCAGCTGCCCGAGAAAACCGGGAGCTGCGGCAGCCCCGGGGACAGGGGCTCGGCCCGGCGGCGGAGGGGTGGCAGAGGACAGCGCAGCCCCGCGAGGATGCGCGTCCTCCCGGGCCGGACGCGGTGATGCCGCTCGGCGCCGCTCTCCCCAGCCACGCGCAGCCCCCGCTGTGCTCGGTGAGGGGCTCCTCTCCTCGGGGCGTGCCGGAGCTCCGGCGCGGGGCTGTGCCTGCCCGGGGCTGGCGAGCGGTGCCGGTGTCGCCCCCGCCCGCGGTGCGGCGGAAGTGACGGGCGCGGCGCTGCCGGCGGAACATGGCGGCGGCGGCGGCCGCGGGGCAGCGCGGAAGGTAAACAGGCGTGAGGGCGGCGGGACCGCGGGCACAGCCCGGGCCGCGCTGCCAGCGCCGCTGCCCCGGTGGGGGCGGCTCCCATCCCTCGCGAGCGCGGCCCGCCGGGAGGAGGGAGCCCAGGATCCCCCCCTTCCTCCGCCTCCTCCTCCTCCTCCCGGCTTCGCCTCAGCCATTGCCCCTCTCCGCAGCCCCCGGCGCCTCCCCCCGCCGCCCCGGCTGTATGGTACGCGGAGCCAGGGCCCCTCTCCGCCGCGCCAGCGGGAGGAGCCGCGTCCTCAGCGCCGCCGCTGCCGAGAGGTGGGTGAAGGATCCCGCGGGTCTCCCTTGGGCGGCCCGGGCGCCCTCCCGGCCCTCAGGGGCCCCCGGGCTTGGGGGAGCGGCCGGTGCCCGCGGGCGGCAGGCGGGGGCAGGCGGGCTGTGGCGGGGATCGAGCACGGCTGCACCGAGAGCTGGCGGGTCCGGGGCTCCCCGGGCGGCTGCGGCCGCACGGCGCGGGCTCCGGGCCCGCCTGCCCCGCTCGCTCGGGGGCTCGGCCTGCGAGCACACGGGCTGAAATGGGTCGTCTGGGTTCCTGCCCTCGAAATGGTCATTTCTCCCCGGTCGCGAAAAATGTGTCTCTGATCTGGGCGAGCAGAGCTACCCAGTATTGGTACTGGAGCTTTGACTTATTTGGTAAATACTGAAATATCACTTAAAAATTTAAAGTTCTTGGGTTTTTGTTGTTTGGGTGTTCTCAATCATTCCCTTAAAAGAAGAATAGGGGAATTGGTGGATAAAAGGACAGAACTACTGAAGTTCTGTCTTCCCAGGGACTTCTTTGTTGTGCATACTTGTCTCTAAGATGATAACCCAGCTCCAGAGGGTCACCAATGTTGAGCACCATTGCCCCAGCTCGCATTCAGATCCCCTGAGCATATCACCATGCACCAACATAATTCCTGTCTTTTCCCTCCCAACACCTAGCAAACGTGTTTAATTTCTACCACATGTTCTATAAACTCTCTCACTAACACTCATCTCCTTTCACTTTCCTTAATTATACCCTGTGGCTAGTTTGGATCTACACGTGTTGATTTGCCTTTCAGCAAGCAGAGCAGAACAGATAACCATTGAGCTCACACTGGAGACATCAGACCTTTTTCATTCATTCAGCTGCCAATTTGAGGGATATGTGTAGAAATTAAATATGAGATTTTTGTCTTTCTGAAAAATGAGGTTGGCGTTTGGCAGTGAGGTCAAAAGCTGTGTGTCTGGAACAAAAGGCACAATTAATCTCATTTTCTGAGAAGATGCTAGAAGCATTAACTAAGATAGCAATAAAGATACAGATAATAACAAAAAGATAAATGTAGGAGGTAGTTCAGCAATCTTATTTTAGATTAAAAACGTGTTTTTACTGATATAGTTTAAATATTTCTTGTAGCTCATCACCTTATTATGCTAAAAATTTTATAAGTCAAAAAAGGATTAGATTTTTTGTTACTAAGAAATACTTGCTATTTTCTGTATAAAATACATCATGAGTTTCTTGATAAGTGTCTTTGCAATGAGAAAATCAGTCTTTACTAATATGTTTTTCTTACATTTGAAAAATTAATCGTTTTATAAGCCACAAATATGTATCTGTATAAATATAAAAGAATGTTTTCACTCAGGATAGCGCAGTCCTGTCCACTTAGAGAACAGTGGCAAATCTGCAGTTTTCAACACTACCATCTTCCAGGTATTAATAATACAAGTTTTCCCAGTTAAACACAGTTCTCATTTATGAGGAAGTATATCAGGTATTTGACACTGGGCCCCTGTTCTGGTATCAGTAAATATAATTGGAAGAGCTGGCTCTGTGTCTGGAGCAGGTCTTTCTGTGCAGGTGTAGTGATGCAATGACCTTTTAGCCAGATGGTTTGAGCTGTCTCAGTGTCTGTAAAGTGCAGTTACAGCATCTGCATCATGAACTGATTCAAGGGGAAGCTCATGTAGATCTCAGTGATTTAACTCACGAGACAAGCTGGGTTTGGATTCGCTTAGGTGAAGTTAAACTGGTCAAGTAACAACAGCTGATGTGTTTGTCTGGCAGTCTTGAAATGCTTATCAAGCATTTGCTTTCATCAGAATCCTTTTGATAGTCATCCTAAAGCATATCTTATTCTCTGGTGGCTAGTCTTGTGAAATAGGGAGTTTCTAGCATTCAATTGACTGGTATTCATCTAAATTGAACATACGTGAAAACTATACTTTTCAGTAGTATTTTAAAACAAAATGGTTTTGATCTTTTGTGTGTGTATGCTTATACCACTTCTCCTGTGCAGAAAGGCTAAATTGGGTTTTAACATATATATGTGATAGATATAACTTAGAGATGCATGTTTTTAGAAGCAGAGAGTAATATGAGCTGAGAAACTATGCGTCATGGTACATGAATGTGAGAGCACCACCACGTCTGCCGGAGTTACGTGTTTCTCAGAAAGAAAATGGAACAAAGCGCCCTCTCCAGTACTGTACTCCATTTAGGGTGAAGAATAACCATACTGAGCTGAGACACAATCCATACTGAGTTTTAGTAGGTCTGGTTGTGACTAGTTCTGATAATGCTTCTGGCATAACCATGATGACCTCAGAGGCCACTGGTGCAGGTGGCTCAGATTGTAAGAGGAGCTCTCATGGTAAGATGCATGCTCCGAAGAAATAGGGTGTGGGCAGTTTTAGAAGTATCTGAATTTTAATTTCTGGAGTTCTGGCAGAATGGTTTCTCTGACTGTCAGTGATTCAGCTCCTAACTTCTTGCTTCCAGAGTAGTCCAGTGCTTTTGGAATTCTAAAGATATATTGAGTGAAGTCTGTCAGCATGAACATACTGATGTGTTTAAGATAAATTGTTTCCTGAACATAGAGTATTATTTAGAAAGGATTTTAGATAAAATACAGGAAAATGGGATGGGTTTCTTCGTTCTCTACATTTGCAGTTGTAGCAGTGGAAAGTTTCGGTATCCACTGATTATTGATCTATCCCATTTTTACATCACTCTTTCTTTTGCTGTTAGTGAGGACTTATGATGAAAAAAGATGGTTTGGACAAAGTTTAATGGTTTTATTGCATTCTTACTCAGTGTAGTGCACTGCATTCCAAGGCCCAGCCTTCAGCCATGTGTGCAGTTGTGAATGTTTCTTGTGTGTGCAAATGCCTGTTGTGTTGTATTTTCACATGTGTATATATAACATTTGAGAAAAATAGGAGAAAAATCTTATTTGTGCAGAAAAGTGTTTTAACAAAATTAGGATCAAATAGTTCTGCTCTAAGCAGTCTTTGCTCTGCACCTCACCAAATAAAGCACCTACAATGGCTTTAAAATTTGCATTTAAATTCTTGTATTTGATAGATGGAAGGAATGGGATAGATGGAACAGATTATTGGATTTGAAGCTCTATTTTTGTACTTTGTGTAACCAAAGCATGGTTTTGTATGTCTGGTGAAAAATTTTGTGGTGTAACTCGTAGGTA